TGGAGCTGGCCAGCAGCGCCACTGCTGCTCCCGCTGCCCGCCAAGCAGCGCCCACCAGAGCGGGGCTGCCTTTCCCCTGGGCTCCTCCCTTTTTTGCCCAACCCCCAGGCATGGCACCAAAACCACCCCACCATAGTGGCATGGTGAACCGCATGGCTGGGTGCCCAGCCAAGCCCACCCCACTAGCCTGCCCCCTTGGAAAAGCCACCTGGGCATGTGCCCCCTGGCAAGCTGCAGCTCAGGTTAGATTCATCATGGTGGGACAGTAAGTGCTCTCCTGTCCCACACTGAACTTCTACAGGAAGCGACTGAGCAGCAGCTGTGAATTTACCACTTATTCCCACAGCAGCCAAGCTCCTGCAAGTGGAAGGACCCCCATCTCCAGCCTGCTCCTGTCCTGCAGGAGGAAGTACCCCCATCTCCAGCTTGCTCCCCCCCAGCAGCCCCGAGCAGCCCTGCCCATTGCTGCTGACGTACAAGAAGGAGTTCTTGGCAGCGCTCACGATGCAGGAGACCCTGTCGGCGTCCACGTAATCGTAGGTAAACTCCTCGGGGTCTGTTTTTGAGCCTGACTCGGACAAGAGGAGGCCCAGCCAGTGGCCCATTTCCTCCGAGGACTTTGCCTGCAAGGGGATCAGACAGATAGTAGAGGTTGCAGCAGCACGACACGAATGCAGCTCTTTGCTTAAGTCCTTCCTAGAATTCCTAGTCAGTCTGGATCTTCTTTTCCATGGTGATCAACGCGGGTGCCTGCAGGAGCATGAGAAGCCTCTGGGGCTGGTGGCTCTGGTGAGGGAATTGTGCGGGACCGATTTTGCACCAGCAGAGCGCAGCAACGGGACGGCCAAAAGCCGTGAGAGCTGCCGGGCCCTCGGGCCAGAGCCCAAACCCCTTCCAGGGCTCCCTGCACAAGGGAGAGGGGGAGGGAAGAGTTTAAAGTGAGATCAGAGAACACCAAAGACAGCCCCTCGCCTTAGCGTGGTCAGTCCCAAATTCCCAGCTGCAGTGAAATGTCTGGAATTTTGCAAAATGAAGAGTTAAATACGGCGCCTGGAAGTCAGCTCTAGCAAACAAGCACACGCACTGCCCATCAGTGGGGGAATCCACCTGGAGCAAGAAGGCGTGGGCTGATGCAACCATCTTCTGCTTTGATTTGAGGAGTTAGAGCAGTAAGCGCAAAGGAAAACACAGGGCAAGTGAATCCCAAACTGGAAAGTGTATTTTAAGCTTTCAATCTGTTTTGTTTAGCAGAGACTTCAGTCCCTGGGAAGCCTGCCAGCTAGTCTGTGCATCGAGGCTGACATCCCAACAAGATACAGGTTCTTCCATTCACAAAAAGTAAATTTTCCCAGCACCCCTTCTTCACATCTGTACAAGGGCAAAATTTCTTAGACATAGACATACCCTGAATCAGAAGTTAAAACCACCTTTGAACTTCATGGCAGGCTTGAGAAGTCGGTTGTTTAGCTATAAATATTCCACCCACTAGAAAAATACAGGAAATTGCTCACATTGTCCACCTCCTACTATAATCAAGCTGTCGTCAGAGAGAACTAAGATTAAAGATAAACAGTCCTGGATGCAGGCAAGGGAAAGTAACAGAAGGAGATGAATTAATCTGCACTTGCACTTTCAGAGGCAGATCTGTGATTGGCTTGCTGGGGATGCATGACCCATAGCTTTGGGATCCTCTTTTCAGAAGATGCAGTTGTCCATGCCTCCTAACCACAGACTTAAATCCCTAAAGTGGCATTCCTCTCATCCAACATTAACCATCTGAAATGCATCCCATATAACTTAGTTATCCAAAGTTATCCTCAAGTCAGTGGAGAGAGATGAGCACCTCCAGAGGACCCTTCATCCCATCCTAAGATGAGTGCTTAAGATGAAGGCTGAATGGTCCTCTGGAGGCACCAGCATCAGACAGCCAGGATTACCAGCTAGGTGGGACACCTTCTCGGTGACCACAGGCAGATGAACCAAAGTCCCACGCTTCAGGTACTGTTTTGCTGGACTGAGGGTTCCTCTGGAGGACATCACTGGCATTTAGGCCTACCAAGACACCCAAGCTGATGATTTAAAGCAGAGGCTTCTTGGAGTTATACTCCCTACCTCCAGAATGACCCGTTCTTCCCCGTTGTGCAGGATGCGGAAGGAGTAGAGATGATCAGGGCTCGGCTCTGGGATGACTTCACAGCCTGCCAAACTGAGGGGCTGCTGAGCCAGTTTGCTTCGGTTCTTGTCCTGGTAGAAATGGAGGTGACCATCCTTTATCTGACACCAGCGGGACTTCCACTGGCTGTTCACTAGCACGTTCAGGTAACCTGCAAGCAAGCACAGGCTACTTGGGCACATTTTTCCACCCCATGGGGAGATAGATAGAATCCGAACTCATTTTTGTGCATGGGGACACACAAAGCCACAAGCAACAACAAAGAGCTGAAGTACAAAGACAAGCTGTCCTAGCCATAAGAAACAGGGTGAACAGGGTAAAAATCTGCTCAAAAGGAGACCCTGGAAATTCAGGTTAGCTTTGGAGTAGGAAGTTGGCTGCAGATGGTTGGACAAAGTTGGTCCCAGATGGTGAATACCAGCTGACCCACATGACCCTCTCGCTGCCACCTCCCACACCTTAGGCTGCTGCCCTAGAAGAGCAGCACAGATGCACTGTGTGCACATCTGGTATTACCTGCCCTTCCTCTTGGGTCACCCTGCAAGCTCTTGTGCACCCTGGTAAAGGCCACACAGTCACCTTCATGTGTAAGAGGCACCACAATTTGCACAGATTTACTGGCACAGACCAAGAAGACTTTGGCTTCTGTCTACCCAAGAAGGACAGCCTAGCACATGCACATTTGAGGGGGATGATGCCTGGTGCTCATTTTGCCCTACACACCAAAATCTAGCTGTGAGGCAAGTCCTTGCAAAGAGGCTTGTGCTTCCACTTACTTGAAGTCTCCAGGGATCTCTCTGGACTATCCAGGGAGCTGGACTTTTTCCTCCCAAGGTTCATCAGGTTGCTCAGCTTCAAGCCAGTTGTGCCTTTCTTCTTAACTACCAGAAAAGAAAGAGGCAGATGTGGCTTCCCCAACTCAGAGCCATACAGGGAGCCTCCTGCCCCAAAGCTGTGTGCACCCAACAGCACTGCAGCACACACACCTTGTGTAGGGCAAACCTGTGACTCGGGGAGGGACAGGCAGTAACAGTCCAAAGCCCAGGGAGACGCTGAGCAAGGTGACACCAGTAATCTCAGTTAAGTGATTTGCTGAAGAGACTTAATCTAGATTGCTGTAAACTCAGGTTAGCTCTGACCAAATGCCAGTGGCTGCAGAAAGGCTGTTTGCACAGGTCTTGCTGTGCAGGTGCCAACCTCCCCTCTCACTGCCTCACACTACAAAACACAGAATTAAAGCCCATTACTCAAAAATATTTACTGCATTCACGTTTTTTTCCTTTCTAGAAGAGGGACTTAAGGTGGGGATGGGGAAAGCATATGTCCAAAGAGCCTTTTAGCAATTTCCTGCCAAGCACATGTTGGTGCATGAATATGGCAATCCCGTATGAAATCAAGCTGGACAGTTTTAGCCTAAATTTTCCTTCTTGCTATCCTAACAAAATGATGAAGTCCTAGTGTGGAGGGACCCAGCAGCACAGCTCTGTCTGCTGGGTGACTCCAGCGAGTCCTCAGCATGGATTTCTCTTTCTCTCTCTCTCTGATGTATAGATGGGTCCCAGCACCCTTCTAATAGAGCATCTCCTCTTTTCATGTACTTGCCTGCCCCATCGTGTAGGTGGGGACTGCACCCTACAGCCCAGAGTCAGATGCCCTGGTGTGAAGGTGTAGCTCTCCCACTGGGGAAAGTTCAGTACTTCACACAGGTACTCCAGGTTCCTCTGCAGACAGCTCTGAGAAAAGTCACTGAGGCTGCATTTTTGCCACCTCAAACTGTCCCAAAGTGACCTGGCCAGTCATGCAGGAACTCTGTGGTAGAGGAGGTATCACACCCAGCTTAGTCAAGCCCTATCCTAACTGTTTAACTGCTGAGAAATCCCAGCATCCACCTGTCCCTTCATCATGGAAAAAAAGATCCAAAGTCAAATCCACAGGCAGTGGATTTACACACAGCTTTCACCCTGCATTGGGTCGGTTTGAGGTGGCAGTGGCAGAAGCTACAGAAGCCCCTGCCACACGCAGGGTCGATGGGCAGGTTCCCCCCTCATTCCCAGGTGAGGTTTTACCATCTTTTGTTTCAGCTGTCTCTGGGTGACCGTCCGTGCTGCTCCCGCTCTCAGAGGCTGCAGAGTACCTCTCCGACACCTCCACCTGCCAGCAAGCACCAGACACAAGCTCCACAGATGCACGTCACCCATTCCTCCAGCCAGCACCCCTCTCCTAAATGATGAGGTCCCACCCTCTTTGGAGCAGATGTTTGGACACAGACATCTCCTGCCCACCCACTCACACCATGCCCTCCCCATTGTTTCTGAGCACATCATGGGTGGATCCAGCACACCAACTGCCCTGGCTGGGCTCAGCTCTGAGGTGATGTGGTAGCACCACCGGTGCCACCCGATGGCCTCTTGCCCTGCAGCCTGGCTGGTGGGGGCATTTCCCAGTCCCCAGAGGAGGGCATGGGCAGAGAAACTGGCCAGGTGCCCAAAGAGGTGTATTTTGGGTGTCCACCAGAGACTCGTGAAGGTTTCTTTCTCCTCCCGTTGTTCTGGAATTAGCTGGCTCCAGGGGAATGTCACCTAAACTTGAACTAGAGACTGGCCCAAGCCCTGGCATCCAAGAGTCTACATCCCTTCCAAAGTTTTTTGTGAGCACAACTGTCCTACTGGATGAGATAGTGGCTGCTGCCCTGTACAAAGGAAAGCCCAGTGCTGAGTCAGTTTTGGGTGTAAGATGTAGCAACAAAATTAAGATTGTGAAAGAAAGTTAAGACTGTTCCAATAATGCTCCTTTTCAGTGGAACTGGGCTCTGGTTACACTCACATCAGCCTTTGCTCAGATAAAATTACTGCACCTACAACTATTATTTATTAAAGAGACAGGGTGGAGAAGCCCAAGTGTCAGTTCTCTCCACAGAGACAAGCTGTACCTTTGGGTAGCTGAGACGCTGGGACTCTGGGATGTACTGGTTGCCTTCACCACCTCCTTCACACAGCAGACCACTGGTCTCCTGGATTACCTGTGCAGAAGGGGAAGCCATAGCCTGTGAGAAAGCTGCAGTTTGTCTCCCTCACCCAGGACAGACAAACCCACACCAGTCTGAGAAACCCCCAACTGGCACTTCCTGCGACCCCGAGGACTTCCCTGGTGTCGCAGCAGGCAGGCAGCAGACACTGCCAGGTCCCAGTCAGCTGGGGACAGGCTGCCAGCAAAGGCAGCCCTGGCACCGTGCTGCCACCCTGCCTTCCACAAAGCTTCCTTCTGCTGCTGTCTCAGAGAAAGGGCCACATCTCCCCTAGTCCTCAGGCAATTCAAGCTGGGCACCCACCCCAGACATCTCTCCTGCCACAGCAGCTGGGCTGGGAGGTCCCTCCACAGCTTCCCATGCCCAGAAGGCAGCAGGGAGCTGCAGGAAGAAGCTCTCCTGGGACATGGAAATGAAGTGGTATATTTGTATACTGGCTTGCAGTGAGGGAGGAAGCCAGAGAACATAAGGACAGGACTGAGATAAGATATGGTCTCCTAGCAAAGCCCAGGCAGAAGCACAGGAGCACCAGTGGGCCAAGCCCTACAGGCACCACTGACCCTGAGCCACTGCTCTGCCTGGTCTTTACTCTGCAGCCCCAGCACGATGACATCAGCATTCATGGGGATGATCTTCAGCTTGTGCTCTTTCTTCTTCACTTGCTTTTCCTTGTGAATGACAGTGCAGCCCAGCAAATTCACGTCGAGCTGAGGGCTGTGGTCTTTGGAGCTCTTGTAGCACTAGAGAAGGAAGATGGGAGGGAAGGTAAGAGGCTCAGAAGCATTCCCTCTTGCTTGCTGGATGAACTCAACCCCAGAAGTGACTCAGTGCAAACACATGCATTAAGTGCACTGGACACAAGAAGGTCCTAGAGGTCCTACAAGATCATACTTCTATGTGTGTGCATACATAGTCTGAAATATCTCTCACAGATACTGCTAGAGGGTCAAGTTTGTGGTCAGGCAGTGGGATAAGTATCCCTCTGCTTAATAACCTCAAAAAGTTTCCCTAAAAAAACATCTCTAGGCATTTTAGGAGTTTGAATTTTGGCCACAAATGTGCCCTTGTGTACCCCCCTCAGAAGCCCCATGCCCAATGTCCCTTCTGAAAGTGGAATGAGATCCATGAATCTCTGGGATAATAAGGTTTTTGAAGCACTGCTTCTAGAGGTACTTTGTTTTTGCCATCTAGTTAACATGGCCTGAGGTACCACTTCCCTTGCCAGCTGATGAAAGTAGGTTGTTTTGGACAGAGTGAAGGATCTACCCACCAGCAGCCTGGTGTCCTTGATAACACAGAGCTGTTTCGCCCACTGTCCCAGCCACTTCTTTCTCCACAGGAAGGCACAGATGCGGGCATCCTTCATCAGTTCAATGGTGGCCTCCGTGGATGGCCACTGATGGGTGGCTGACTTGCCTTTGCTGCTCTCTTCTTCATCATAGGATTCATAGGAGCTACTAATGGCTTCACCATCTTCTATAACAAAAGCAAAGCTCCATCATCAAACACATTTCTAGGACAACTCTGAGCCTATTGCTTGCCTCAGCCATGCTCACACATGCAAAAGCTTCCAGCACAGGGACGTGTCTTTTGAGGCTCTCCTACGGGAGGATAATCAATAGGAAAATAACTCTCATAGACCCTTTTTTTCTTTCTAGCCCAATATTAATCTCATTGCAATGTTTTGTGCCTAATAGTCTCAGTTAGCAAACACTCAAAAGACACTTCTCAGTTGACCACAAATTCGAGAACATTCCCTTACACATCTGTTGATGTTTGCTGCTTTCCCTCCCCCACACCTCAAAAGATGCTCTTTCTACTTTTCACTTCAAGCCAAACACTCAATTTTTAAGGCAACAGCAAGCTACAATCAGCCCTTGTCCTCTGAATGTCAGAAGTATTTGTGAGGCCATGCAGCAAACAACGATCTATTGCATGCGAGACGTCATTCCACCTTCCCTCTCTGGGCTAATAGGTCTCTGCTCAACATCTAAGGGACAGCAAGGGTCTTTCAACGAACACATAGCTGCTGCAGCAAAAACTGGTCACAAGTGGCAGCTGTAAATAACAATAATCACATTTGTCACGTTCATCCTTAAATGGAATGATGAGTTATTAGGATGAGTTGGGATTTTCAATACCCTGCTCTAATTACTGTAGGTTACTGGAGTTCTTGGTGGATAGGAACAGCTGGTCATTGTATCATCAGATACAATGGAAACATTCCCACTGACTGCAGGGGAATTTGCAATGCTCTGCTGCTGTCTGCAATACATCTCTTACTCCCAAGGTGAGCTCACACAGCTAAATCGTAAAATTTGGGCAGCATCTGAGTTTTGCATTCCTCTCCTACCAAACAGCATGGAGGAATATCATTAAGTTTCTCTCATGAGAATTTAATCTACTTAATCAAATCTTAATATCCACACAGAAGTAACATTATCAGATTGCAGCAAAATAAAGAGAAAAAGCAGCCAGAAAAGAGAGAGAAAAAAAGCATTAAGAGCTTCACTGAAGAACATTTCTTAAATTGTGTTTATTTATTCTTAAAATAAAAGGAACTGAGATACAGTATCAAAGCTACAGCCTTACCCCCAGTGAAATCTCACTCTATAACATCCCTCAAGTGATCAAAGCTGCACCAGTTAAACTTATTAAAAATCAAATATTCCCTTTCAAAGTCTCTGAATGGTGCTGGCAGCACACTACTGGCTCAACATCTCCATACCCTCCATGTACTGAGCTGTCCATGCTTCATGGGAAAGCACTATCCCCACTGCATTATCACTGGGCAGACCCTGTCCACACGCACCCCAGGCAGAAATTCAGATGGATTAAAAGTGCTGAGGTTTCTCATCCCTAGAAGTATCAAGAAGCTGAACCTCTGTACTGCTAGGAACATTCCTTATGCTGCAGCAACAACAAAGTCTGAGGGAGCCTCATCTTCTAAATCTCCCTCCTCATCAACTACCACTAACTGCCCCCCTGGCCCCTTTGGGGTGTCTTTGGTGCCTCTCACCTAGACATTAGGTCTCAGGCTGACACCTTTCTCCTGAGGGAGTAACACTTTTCTTCCATACCCTCAGTGGGATCCCTGGCTGGTCTTCTGTGCCTCAGCCACAAGTGTCTCAAGAGATGAGTTCTTTACTTGAAGAGCTGCAGCTGTTGCTAGCCTCGTGACACTGCCACAGCCCCATGATGGAAAGCCATCTTCCAGGCTGTCTAGTGGGCAAACTGGGACTAATCTTGCTTGGGCATCTTGAGACAACGCTGTTGCCCTACCAAGGCTTGCCCAATCCCAAGTCATACAGCTCAGGCACTTCAGCACAGTCTCCATTTCCACCTACTGGCAGTTTCAATGAACACTACAGTTTTATCCTCTCTTTGCCATGACGACAGTGGCAGCCATGTTCTTGGCTGTCTTTATCTGATCCACCTCTCTTTCTGCTTGTCTTGCCTTCCCAGAGAGCTAAATGAACAGCATGACACAGGGAGCTCCAACCATCTCACACACCAGAGCTGCCTCTGCTTGAGCAAAGCACCTTCAGCATTCACTGAACAGCTACTTGTCAGTACAGCCAGGGTTACCACGTACCAGCTCCACACCAGTGACCAGAACCAGGCAATAAAGGCTAGGGAAGTTCTCTCCATTGTTGTCTTGAGTATAGGAAAGGTTACATAAACATGCCACCTTGCATACATCCAGCACAGGCAGAGAGAGGAGAGAGGTGGTTTCCCTTCACATGGCTAATGCCAGGGGGAGAGGGGGAGAGAAGGAGGTCTTTGCTAAAACTGAGTTGTCGGTTTGTTTGGTGGGTTTTTTTTGTTTTTTTTTTTTTTTTTTGGGGGGAGGGGGGGGGTTGTTGGTTTGTTTTTTTTTTTTTTTTAAATAGAAAGGCACTTCAGGTTTGGAAAGCATGCCATACCCATTGTTATTGTGGCATAAATAACGCCCTCAGTAACCTGCAACCCTGGCCTGGGTCCAGCCGCAGCAAGCCTACCAAAAAGACCTGCACAGTC